GCCTCTTCCTTCCTCCTACTTCTTCGCCACCTCCTTCTCCTCCTGCCTCCTCACCCTCACCCTCTCGCAAGCGTTCTCCCGAGGGTTTCCACAACGGCTGGGGGAGTACATCATCCCGTCGCTTGACCAGGCGTTGGCCCAACGTTTGGCCACATGGGCGTTTCCGAAGGGCAGAGGGCGGGTGTGATTCGCTTAGACGTCTTCGATACGTACGCGATACTTCCGAAATGCGTACTGACACAGCCTGGAGCTGCCAAGGCTTTTGACTGCTGCTCACCTGAGCCTGAGGCATGCCGCTCCTCAGCAGGCACTCGAGGCCACGCAAGCCGTCCGCACTGCTGAAAGGAGGAATGGCCTGGGCGGCCATGCGCGCCTTCATGACCGGGTCGAGCCTCGAGGCCATGCCAACCTCGCCCCAAGGGCCCCACTGGGGCGCCTGCGCTGGCAGCCCCAGCGCCTTGCGGTGGCGGCAAAGTCCGTCCAGATAAGCGTTGGACGCTGAGTAATTGCCCTGGCCCATGCTGCCGTACACGGCGATTGAGGAGAAGAGCCAGAAGAACTCCAGCCACGGGTTCTTGTTCTCCTCCAGAGCGTTGTGCAGGAAGAGAGCAGCCCGCGATTTCGGCTGGAAGACCTCGTCGTAGCTCTCCATCGTCAGGTTCATCAGCATGCCGTCCCGCAGCACGCCGGCGGAATGGATGAAGCCCCGCAGGTTCGGGGTGTGCTCTTTCACGAATGCGTCCACCGACTCGCGGCTACCACAGTCGCACTTCGCCTGAGGGCACGATCAGATGACAGTCAAAACTCCGAGTTTAAACAGAAGAGCGAGACGAGAAGCAGGAGGTGAAGCGGCCGATCGAAACGAGCCAGTCAAGGGTAGCAAAAACCCGCTCCGCCGATCAAACGAGGCGCCTCCCGGCGTTCGTGCGCTCCCCTCGCGCGGAGGCATTGCTGCGCAGGCGACGCCCAGGAGGCTCCTAAGAAGAGCAGGGGGGAATCTCGAGCAATGAGAGAGGCACCCAGGCAGCGTCTTGAGGTCAAGTCTCGCTGGGTGTCCTGGGTGGGCAATCCTGGAAGCTCCACCGCCGCCCTCTGCTCACTGGGCCAGGATCGAGCCTCACGAGCGGCAAGTTGTACCACGCTCGAGGCTACGAACGACAGCGAAGGGGGAGGATTCAAAACAAGTCTGACACTTGCTTGTATCTGGAAACGCGAGTTACTGCCATCCAAGGACACGTGACACCCAGGAAAACTCAACTCCCCACCGATGCACCATCACAAGGTACCACGAGAAGGCTTGGAAATCGCCGTGTAGCAGAGGCCACTGATCAGCCGTTATGCAAGCCGACGAGAAGGAGGCGAGGGCAGAAAGAGCTACTGTGGACCCTGCCACGCAACCGAACGAACGAAACCTCGACAGCCTGATATCCTGGGAGAACTCCAACGCCGCGATGCTTCCCTATGGGAACGAAAAATGGCATAAGCAGAAAAACTCGGAGGTCCGCGCGGATTTCTTGGATCCGCGCTGGACCCCCCTCCCTGGCGCGCGGAGCGCGCCAGGGGCGGCGCCAGAGGCGCCGCTAGGGGGCTCCAGCGCGGATACAAGAAATCCGCGCGGACCTCCGAGTTTTTTCTTTATGCCATTTTTCGTTTCCCTATTCCCAACGTACACAGGCCCAATTTCCTTAATGGTGCTCGGGCCTGCTGCCGTAAATAAATCCTGCTTGTTAGACATCGTTTCCCTACGCGAAGCGCTCGCAGTGTGCCCGCAGCTGCCAGCTCGACATCGTGAGGGGCACTCGAACCGCGAAGCCCACAGCTTCGACGCGGAACGCGGGTGCCTCTCGACGGAACGGAAGGGTGCTCCGCCACCTTTGATAGGCCTGTTTTCCACCACCACCACCACCACCACCAGAAGTTGGAGGGAGAGAGGGTCCTCCTCCTCCTCCTCCTCCTCTCCTCCTCCTCCTCCCTCCTCCTCCTCCTCTTCCTCCTCCTCCCCCTCCTCCTCCTCCTCCTCCTCCTCCTCCTCCTCCTCCTTCTCCTCCTCCTCCTCCTCCACCTCCTTCCCCCCTCCAACTTATGGTGGTGGTGGTGGTGGTGGAAGACAGGCCCATCCACCCTGCCTGGCGTAGCCGCAGAAACTCCCGAAGGAGCGGGCGCGTGGCGAGGGCCCGCGAGCCTCGCGGAGTGCCCCTCTGCTGGCTTCGGCGGGGTGCGTCGTGCGACCTGCTCCGAGCTGCGCAGCGTTTTTGCTGGGGGAGCTCGGGCCACACGCGGGAGCCGGCTCTCTCCTTCGGGGGAGCGCAGGGGAGGGCGACGAGAAAAAGGGCAGCGGAGGCCAGCACGACGGCAGCGGCAGGGACAGCGACGGACAGCCACAGGACGGGGGCGACGGTGACCACGACGACGGCGGCGACGCCGAGGGCACGCAACGCCCAGGGCCTGCTCGACTCCTATGCCCAGCTCGGCCGCCAGCCGCTGCACGTCCTCCCAGTTCGCCAGGTTGTCGTCCGTGACCCTCGCGGACCGCGACAGGAACTTCATGGAGAAGCGCTTGCCCCCCTGCTCCTCCGGGGACGAGAGAAGATACCGGCCGCACACGGCACGCCTGCCACAGCGGGCGGCAACACCGCACGAAGCAAGCGCTCGAGGACGTGCTCAGAGATGACGCGCGGCTCTGCACAGCCCCTCGTTCTCCCCCCTCGTTCTCCCCCCGTTCTCGTTCTCCCCATCTCGTCTGCAAGCCTCGACTGGCCCCGAGGAGGCCCCTCGTCCGCACGCCTGGACCTGCCCCGCGGCGGCCCCTCGCTCTCCCCCCTCGCCTGCAGGCCCCGACCAGCCAATACTGCTCGGGGTACGTATGGGTGGCACGTGCCGGCACCGCTGGATCGAGCACGCCGTCCCCCCTCTGGACCTTGTGCGGCAGAGCTGCACCATCGGAGCGATGGCGTCTCGACGAGAAGGGCGCGCTCCCCCAGCCAGCTCGACAATCGAGAAGGGCACGGGAGAGGCGTATAGCAAACAGAAGGGGCTCTCGGCAACCGGAGATGGGCGCATTCCTGCAGGGCGAAGCATCCTACAGCCAGAACGGCAGTTTACAGCTAAGGAAAACAAAGCTTCAGAGGCTCCTGAAAAGCCTCTGTTTCCCGGGGGGCTTCTGATAGGCTTCTGCACACTGTTGAGATGCTATCGAAGGCTGCTGGGAGGCTGAGGAGAATTCCCTGAAAGGCTGCCGAAAAGCTGAGGGTAAGACACTTGTGAGAGGCTCGTCAGAGGCTTCCATAGGGGCATCAAAGAGGTTCCAGTGAGGCTTCTGAGATGCTTCTGAGCGGCTTCTGAGAGGCTGCCGAGAGGCTCTTGGGGTGCTTCTGAAAGGCTTCTGACCGGTAGCCGAGAGGCTTCTGAGAGGCTGCTGGGAGGTTCCTGAGAGACCTCGGAATGGCTTCTGAAAAAGCGTTTGAGGGGCTGCCGAGTGGCGCCCGACGGGCTCCTGAGCTGCCTCTGAGAGGCCCCCGAAGGGCTTCGGAGAGATTTTCGAAAGGCCTCTAAGAAGCAGCCAAGTAGCTGTTGAGGCTTCCGAAAGGCTTCCGTCTGTATACCTTGTATGTATATATACATGCTTGAAAAATGAACACGTATCCGAGAAGCTCAGAGAAGCGAATGAGAGGTTTCTGAAATCCTCGTGAAAGGCTCCCCTCTGGCACGCTCCTGAAAAGCGTCTGAGAGGCTTTGCGGAGGCTTCCGAAACGCTACTGAAGGGCTTCAGAGAGGCTTCTGAGATAGAAGGTTCCTGGGAAGCCTCCGATATATTTCTGATAGGACTCTGAAAGGCGCCTGGAAGGCTAAGAGGACTCTCAGAAGCTTATGGCAGGCTGCTGAAAGGCTTCTGAGAGGCTGCTGGGAAACTCCACAGAGGCTCCCGAACTCTGGCTGCTGACAAGTGTAGGCTACCTGTGTGTATGGGGTTGAAGTACAAGGGTACAGAACCCCTGATCCGCTGGTAGAGGGAAGGAGGGATAGATGGATGTCTTTCCCTCCTGCACGATCAAAGGACTGATCGATCTGTCCCGATACCTGAGCCCAAACGGCCAGGCGCAGGAGAGGTGAGGATAAGGAGTATATATGAGGGTATTACACGGGTTCTATTCACACCCCCCGTCCCGAATCCCGCCCGCGAGGGTAGGACTCGGGAACAGAGGAAAGAATCCGTCACCCTTTTACTCCTTCAATCCTCAGGTCTGCAGGCAGCTGAGCGCAAAGTCAGTATAGCCTCAGCTGCAAAGTAAGGTAAGAAGGGACACCCTGGGTCCCGATTTCTTCGCCAAGAACGCTTTGGTGCCCCCTCGGTGCGCCCCCCAAAACGCTTCGGCACTCGAGGGCGGAGAAGAATGAGACACGGGTGGGCGGAGAAAGAGGATCTGAGCAAGTTAAAGCAACTTATAATCTGCCTCGCCTATGCGAGGCAGGTGTTGCCACCAGCTGTCAGATCATTCTCAACGCAATGGAGTTAGACTGTAAAGAATATGCAATCAGAGATCGTGTTGATGAACACGATCGCGTTACAAAACGCATCTATATATCAAAGTAAATGTCTGGCCAGACGAAAGGCCGTGTTGATGAACACGAAAGTTGCATGTATGTAAATTCTCTATATGGCGACTCCCGTTGGCGTTGCCCCTTAGGAGGCTGCCTTGGTCATCGCAAAAGATGTGTGTATGCGTGGCCACTTGTGTTGTATAGCGAAGTGGCCTAGAAGTATACAATAGCCACCGCTCAAGGCGAACTTGTATTATAATGAAGTTCAAGCCTTTCGAGCGGTGGGCCTTGCGGCCGACCCACTACGCGTTGCCGTTCTCGTAAAACCTGCGGTCCCACATCCCGCGGCCATCGTACGTCACGTAGCTCGTCGTGAACGCCTCCCAAGATGTCCTCGGGATCCAGTGGCGAAACCACCTGTTGTACTGGATGTCGCGGATGTATACGAACTCGTCGTTATTGAGCGCGATGTAAATCCAGCAGTTGATGTAGTAGCTCCAGTACCTGAGGCCCCAATGGCTGTCCTCCAGGTCGTCGCGCCACCAGGCGGCGTAGCCTGTCGTACGTGCCCTCTTGGCGCGAGGTCTGTAGCTGTCATCGCTATCCTGCCGCTGCGCTGCAGTGCCGCGCGCCCCCGCGAGCGCGCGGTCATTCGCGCCAGAGGCGCTAGACCGTGCAGCATCGCCAGGGGCAGGGCGCGGCGGCGGCGGATGGCGCGGCTCCATGGCATCATCGGAGTGTTGGGAGTGTGCATCAGGTTCGATCGGATCGGTTCTCCTCCCTGAATCAAACCCCCTTCCGTGATCGATTCCCCCCCCCTGGTCGTTGTATGTCGGATCGGCAAAACCCAACAACTCGTGCGCAAGCGCAGCAAGCTTGCGCTGCGTGACTTCCTCACGGGTGCCATCCCCTCTGGGGAGGGCAATCGTGACAAGTCCGCGAGCCTGCCGCGTTTGTCTGTCGAGTATGCCTTCGTTCAACCACCATTTCTTCCGACCAGCTTGGCCTGTCCTGGTGCTGGTCTCGAGGATCTCACATGCATCACGCATGTCCTCCACGGTCCAGGCCTCCTTGCCCACGTTAACGCGAGCGCCTGTCATTTGGTGGTGGAACTTCAAATCATTGAGAAAACGCTGAATGAGATTGGCATATGGATGGTATAGAGGTCTGTCGTCTTCAGCCTCGCCCATCAATCTGCACTCGTGTGCAGGAGGGCGGCCAGAGTCGACCCACTTCTCATACCTCTTCCTAGCGGAATTGGCCATTCTCCTCAGCGCGTCTTTCTCATTGCCTGGAAATGAGCGCTTGCCCGTCATGATGACTTGCGCTCCGTCTCTCATGTACCTCGTGATGCCGTCCTGGGAGAGCGTCGTCCTGATCCAGTTGGTCAGCTTCTGGAGGTATGCTAGGTCGCTCTGGACGGCGGTACTTACCCGTAGCACCTACAGATACAGTGTACTGCCAGCATATGTCACAAAGGGTACCATCATTTGTAACGGTCGCTAGGGATAAGGTGCGATCGCAACTCCGACATCGCGCGATATCATGCTGGATAGTTTCTGGGGCTCCCTCAGTTGTGAGGTGCTCACGAGATCCCCAGCGAGTATCCCGACCACGAGCAAGACTGCGGCCGATCTGATCCATGGCATCGCGGTTGATCTCAGCATTCGGTCGGGAAGCGATTGATCTACTCAATCCCTCGATCTCGATCCTAGACAATCTTTCCCCTGGCAGTCCTATGCGCTCTGTCGTGTCGTTGTCCGCATCCTCAGTATCACCATGGCATACGTTCTCAGTACGGAGACGGCGAGCCTCCTCCTGCAAGGCGGACTCGTTGTCGCCCTCCTCGCGGTTGACTCCCGTCTGCTCGGCTATGATCCGTACCATGGTTTCTTGATCAGGAGCTGCGGATGCAATGCTGCCTGGGTCCTGGGGAATGCCCTGCTCCGCGCCTGGGTCACGTGGCGCGGCAGGTGTGCCCGCCAGCTCCGTCCATACGGGGAAGCCTGGATTGCCGAATGCGTTGATGCAGTGTGTAAATAGATCACGCAACGTTTGGAGTGCGGGATGATTCTGATGGATAGCATCTTTTGTGAAGCCACGGAGCTCCGCAATGCTGTCCAGCAATGTATGTTGATACACTTTGGAAATACATTGAAAGACGCCTGTAGTCGACTTCTCGATGGTCTCCGGGTCCAGGTAGTTTACCAACTTTTTGAAGAAGCGATCTGCACTGCAAATTGATGAGTCACGTGCCCATTTGTGGGTATGAGTATAATCCAAATAGTACTTCCCTGCGTCCCATGCTTTCGATCCGAAGTGAACGTCGAATTGCAAGTACGACTGTACTCTATCCACCACAGATCTGCCCACGCCAGTATGCACCTCAATGATTTGCTTCATCCTTATCATAGGTGAGTCTACCAAAAGTTCCGACACCCAGCGGTATATGCTGTGGTCATATGATTGTCTGGTCCACCTTGTGTGATCCTCTGGGTCGCAGTCGGGGTGATTGAGGAAGTCGTCTGGCGGGTCAATAACGTTGTCGAAGATGCTCGCATCGACGTGCTCATCTGCTTGGATCTCTGCTGATAGGTCTGCTTTCATATTGTCATTTGCCGCTTTTTCTTCGGCGGTGAGTGGCATGTTTGATATGTCCACAAGAACGGTAACCAGAGGTTCGTCAGATTGGCCTGCCGATTGTTGGGGCCCATCGTCCGCGGGAGCGGTATCCTCGGCAGGTGTAGCCACCAGCTCTTCGGGATCGGGTGTCCGAGGAGCGGGCCGTCTGGTCGGTGTACGTGGGATACGTGGCTTAATAAATGCTCGGCATACCGAGATATGGCAGATCACCATCTGTTTTGTACTGAAGTATTTTGTCACGGCATGAGGATGGTCCCTCCAGGGCAGTATTCATATGTGTCGGGTCAATGGAATATTTGTCGGCACGAAGTGGTAAAGCAAAGACAACGCCCTTGAGAGGCATGCTTTTGTCATTGTACCATATGTTTACCCATCGTAAGCCGTAGTTG